ATCCCACCCAGCAGGTAAGTAAGAATGAATAATAAAATCAGTAAGCAGTGATGAGAAGTAAACCTTGCCTCCTTTCTCTTAACCCAAACTGGTATACTTGGAATAGCAAAATAGCCACCAAGCTGACAGCCTGAGTCCAATGCCCAGAGCCCATGTGGTAGAAACTCACTCCTACAAGTTGTCCTCTGACTGCACCCACACTCTGTAAAACATAATAAAACTGGTATATTTTAAGAATGTGGTATGTAACAAGAAATATGACTTAGGTGATACTGATATTATTGGGAGGTATAGGAATGCCAAATGGGGCCCAACGGCCACTTGGTACAGGCACTTACAACCTGAGTCTGAACCCCAGGACCCACATGAGAAAAGGAGGAAATAGGCCCCCATAAGTTATTCTTTGGCCTACACATGGACTAGGGCACAAGTGTGCACCTAAACCACACATGTGAGTGCATGCACACATGCATACACACAAATAAATAAATGGCAAATGGGCTGTGATCTTGAACTTACAGAAATAAAAAATGCTAGCACATTCATTAGCCTACCACTATGTATTGATACTGTAAATGTTAGTTATTTTTTTCAACCCACTTACTGTTATGTTTCTAGGCAGAATGTAAATGTTATTAATCCTGAGGAGGCACACGAGAGAAAAAGAACATTCAAGTTCTCTCCTGCTAATTTACGAGGGCTCTGACCTAAATCAAGATACTTAGGTCATCTTTTCTACAAAAAGGAAAAGGATACAGTCTTTTTATTTTTTTATTTTTTTTATTTTTTTTGGTTTTACAAGACAGGGTTTCTCTGTTTTGGAGGCTGTCAGTCCAGCCTGGCCTCGAACTCACAGAGATCCGCCTGCCTCTGCCTCCCGAGTGCTGGGATTAAAGGCGTGTGCCACCAACGCCTGGCGGATACAGTCTTTTTAAAGCCATCTTAAAGAGCAAATGACCTGCAAACTAAACATGTAAAGGAGAGTTTGAGACTCATAAGGACAGCTTTTAAATGATGATTTTCATCTTAACAATATTTAAGGGGGAAATTTTATTAACATAATATTGCTACAAAATCTGCAAAGCTTTTGACAAAACTCAAATACCAGAGTATACGCATCATATATATGCCCATTCCCATGATCATAAATCCCTAGTTATGACTTCTCCACCAGACTCAAGACTTTAACCACCTACTTAACAATTTTAACTTTGATATTAAACAACACAGCCGAGTTAAAACCAAACTTTTCCCTTCCTTGACCCTCCTGGTCTCCATTTCAGCAGATAACATGTCTATCCTATTGCTCAAGAAGGCAAGATTCCAGCTAGGCAATGGTGGTGCACTCCTTTACTCCCAGGACTGGTGAGGCAGCAACAGGCAGATCTGTGACTTTGAGGCCAGCCTGGTCTATAGAGTGAGTTCCAGGACAGTCAGGGCTACATGGAGGCCCTGTGTCTTAAGTGTCTGTTCTATTGTTATGAAGACACAACATGACCAAGGCAATTTACAGAAGACAGCATTTAACTGAGGGCTTGCTTACAGTTTCAGAGGACTAGTCCATGAACATCACAGTGGAAAACAAACAGGCATGCTGTTGAAACAGTAGCTGACATCCTGATCCAAAAATTGGGGACCAGGGAGACTAGGCTGGCATGGGCTTTTAAGACTTCAAAGCCCACCCTCAGTGACACACCTCTTCCAAGATGGCCATACCTCCTAATCCTTCCTAAACAGTCCACCAACAGGTGATTCAAATATATATATGTATATGTATATGTGTGTGTGTGTGTGTGTGTGTGTGTGTGTGTGTGTGTATGAGCCTAAGGAGGCCATTCTCATTCAATCCACCACATCCTGTCTCAAAAAAAATCCAATTTTCAGCACTATCACTGCTACAAAACCAGGCCTTACCACCAAGGACTTTCCTTTTGTTATTCCTCTACTTTCCAACTAAAGGACTGTCCCTCATATAAATCCTGTACCACATTTAAAATAAGATCACACAGCCCCAGATATACAGTGAGTTCAAGGTCAGCCTAAACAACAAGAAAACCTGTCTCAAAAAAACAAACAAGCTGGCAGTGGTGGTGCATGTCTTTGATCCCAGCCCTCGAGGCAGAGGCAGGCAGATCTCAGTGAGTCTGAGGCCAGCCTGATCTACAGAGTGAGTTCCAGGGCATCCAGGACTGCTACAGAGAGAAACCCTGTCTCAAAAAAACAAAAACAAACAAACACAAGCCCTGAATCCTGCATATCTGTATATCCACTTGGCAGTTAAGGTAAAAAACACTGGCTGCTTTCCAGAGGACCTAGATTCTATTCCCAGCATCTACATGGCCGTTTACAACCTTCCATTTATAACTCCAAGGAGTTCAAACGATCTCTTCTGGCCTCTGTGGGCATCAGTCATGCACACAGCACACAGACATACATGCATGCAAGACACCCACACACATAAACAATAAAATAAAAAAATAATTTTTAAAAAATTAAAAATAAACCAGGAATGGTGGCACATACGTTTGATCCCAGCATGGGAGGGGGTGGGACAGACACAGGCAGGTCTCTGTGAACCTAAGGATAGCCTGGTCTACATAGCGAGTTTCAGGCTAGCCAGGGCCTCATAGTGAGAAGTGAGGTCTTGTGTCAATAAATAAATAAATAAACAAGCTCTTACAATAGAATGCCCTCTTTCTAACAATATTAGAAAAAAATTTATGCTAAAAAAAGTAAGAACTGAGGATTAGTAATTCCCGAAGAAGAGAGAGCTGAGTGATCAATGCCCTTGAGTAGAGAAGGCCCTGCATCTAACACCAGAGCCAAGGAACTGGCATAAGTGAGGAAGACAGCAAATTCACTCATACACCGGAAAAGAAAGACTAGCGCAGTGAGCGAGCGTGCTTCCACAAAGTGTTTAGACAGCGCAGGAAGAGCCTGTGGCACTTCCAACTGATCAAGTGGTCTCAGGCTGCGCATCCGTGAGGACCATGAAGGAACTGTGTGAACCTCAGGATCCTAACCAGTTAACTGGAAGCTTAGAGACATGACAGAAAACTTGGAGTCCTGAGGTATCACAAGTGCCACCTGCCAGCAAACATCTGAAGGCTGCGATGGCTTGAAGGCAATCCTACTTACTGTCCATGTGGAGAGTGTGGCACATGAGTTTTCACTGGAGAAGGAGAGCAGACATTACTAAAGGGCTGGCTTCCCACAACAGCCACTGCTGCAACAACCTAAAACAGCCATGCTGAGTACAGGTGCCTTTCTTACACAGTGGGGGTACCTAGTTCATTTCTTCAAAAGAAACTAATACTCCCCAAATGGTAATAGCATTTTAGTAAAGATTAGACCTTTTTCCCCCTGAGACAGGGTCTCATTATATAGTTCAATTTGGCCTCAAATTCAGTATCTAGTTCAGAGTGACCTTGATCTTGGGAGCCTCCTCCCTCAGCCTTCCAAATGCTACTTATCATATGCATGTGTCACCATGGCTAGCTTTTTCTCAAACTTAAAAAAAAATTAAGAGAATAAAGAGAAAATATGTAGTGGAACATTGAGGTGCTGAATTCTAAAACTCCATCATTTTCTTCAGTCACGTAGCCACCAGTAAGATGCCCATGCCCCTGCACAGAACCCCACACTCCTTTAAGTAACCCTAACTGAGCTCACCGATCCACTCAACTAAAAAAAGAAAAGGCACCAAAGTGGAAGGGAACTATATGGAAATAGAAAAAGTGAAAAGAGTAATGGGTGGTGAATGCGAAGAAAATACATTATACACATGTATGAAAATGTTACAATGAAATCCATTATGCATAATTGATATTATATGTTAGTAAGACTTTATTTGAAATCTTGGTAAACGTCTAACCTTCCTATAATTCATATAGCCCCCACCATTAGATCTGCAGCATTGTAGTTTGTTGTCCCTATAGATAAAAATTTTAAAGTGCAGCCTATTCACTGGATATATTGCTAAAAATCGCTCCATCCAGGGGAAGCTCCTGCACACATTTCAAAGCAATACTGCCACCAGAAGACTAAAAGGAAAAGTAACTGCTAACAACTCCGGTCCGGCTAATTACTGAATGTTTACTTATCTTCATCCGTGGCTATATTACAATCTGCCTGCCCCTGCTCCTGCCTCGACACCTATTCCTTCTTGTACCTCACCGCACTCGCTGTCTGCCTGCAGCACTGACTAAACCTGATAGCCCATGCTTTTAAATCTGAATCCGTCCCCAACTGCAAAAAACGCAAGAGGACAAATGAGCGTCCAACGGCTTTCTGTTGTCGATTAAGAGAAAAGCAAATAAATAATGCCATGACATGAGCAGTCCTTTCGTGAGAACCTGAATGGACGCTCAACATATTTTTGAGAGATGATCACAACCTTCACATAAAGACTACGAAAGAAGAGAGAGAGAGAGAGAGAGAGAGAGAGAGGGAGAGGGAGAGGGAGAGGGAGAGGGAGAGGGAGAGGGAGAGGGAGAGGGAGAGGGAGAGGGAGAGGGAGAGGGAGAGGGAGAGGGAGAGAGGGGGAGAAAAGGAGAGGAGAGGAAAAGAGAGGGAGGAAGGACGGGAAATAGAGAAGGAACGACGGAGGAAAGGGTAGGGGAAGAGAATTACAGAGGAGGGACTGGAGGAGGGAGGCGGGGGAGAAAAGAAACCGGAGGTTAAGTAAAACAGAAATCATCAATCGGAAGAGAAAAACTTGACTGTCCAACTTCACGCCGCATCCTAACGCCTCGTCTCGGCGCAGGCGTTACACGGGCGTCTACCAGCCGCACAAAGTCTTCAAGCCTTTGGCTGCAAGTTATCACTTTGAAAAGCGCCAAGCAGCTCCGTAACGCGTCACGGAACCGCCGCCCGCGGCCGTACCCCAGACCTGGCGGCGATGCCAGCGCGTCCCGGGACCCCCGGCGGCAGCGCGCCAGGGTTAAAGAGCCGCGGCGAGGAGCGCGTCCGCCCGCCCGCCCGTTCGCACCGCCGCTCACCCGGTAGTTGCTCGAGCCCACCCAGCCGGTGAGCGCGTCCACTGTCTTGGCCAGGCGGCTCGGGTCGTCCTCCAGGTCCGGGATGGCGCCGGGCGCGCCGAGGTAGAGCAGCAGCTCCTCGCCCGCCTGCAGCCGGCCGCTCACGTCCTTCTGCAGCACTTGGGCGCTGAAGTACTCGGCGCCGCGGGGCTCCATGGCCGCGCCCGCCGCCCCTCAGCCGCCCGTCGCCCCTCAGCCTCCAACTTTCCTCGCAGCACCGCCCAGCCGCGGTGGTGGGGCCTCCGAGACGCGCTCGCCACCCAGAGACGCCGCTGCCCGGGCCCCGGCGGCCGGCGGGGGACGGCCCACCCCCAAAACTACTCAAACTCGGCGCCCCCCGCTCCCAGCCCCGCTTCAGAGGCTGCGGCTGCCGGCGACGTCAGCGCGCGCGTGACGTCAGAGCGACGCGCCCGGGGCCGAGCGGAGGCTGCGGCCTGTGGCGCTGCTGCGGGCGGGCGCAGGGGGCGGTCGGGGTCGTTTCGGTCTACTCGCGTGGGCGCTCCCCGAAAGCCCCCGTGGGGATTCCAGGATCTCCGGCGATTCTCTCCGCTGCCGCCATCATCAATACTGAAGAAGGAAAAACTTTCTGGTACTTGTCCCCGCCCCGCCCCTGCCGTCTCTTTAAACCGGAATACATGATTCACGCTCTTCCTCGACAAAAGACCTGGCTGACCCTGCCTGCTGCCACCCCCACAAGTCGCTGTGGAAGACTTTCTGTTTCTAGTTGACAGCGAGGTTTGGCAAATGGATTCGCAGTTCTGTTAACACATTTTTTTCACGGCCCACCCCAGGTCCGCTAAGTTCCCTGACCGCTGTAGCCCACTAACCTCTTCAGCCCTAGCCGATTCCAATTTGATTTTTGCTTTTGTTGGGGTTTGATTTTATTACTTTTTTTTTTCCTTTTTGGACAGGGGCTCGTATAGTACAGGCTAGCCTCCAGCTTGACCTGTATTAGAGGATGATCTTAAATGTCTGGTCCCAACTTTACAACCAAGTGCTGGGATTACAAGCCGGAGCCACAAAACTCGAGTTTTGTTTCTGGGTAGCTGGGGCTGTTATTGATAAGATTTATTTTTATTTTATGTGTACATGTGTGCAGCTGAGCGTATGTATGTGCGCACATGTGCTGATTCCAAAAGTCGAAAGAGGAAGTCAGATCTCCCGGAACTGGAGTTACAGGCGATTGTGAGCCACCTGTGATGGGTGCTGGGACCTGAACTGAAGCCCTCTTAACTGCTCAGCCGCCTGTCTGGCACAGTGTCGTTGACAATGGTTTTGGCTGTGAAGCTCAGACTAGTCTGGAACTCTTGACCATTCGAATTTTATTTCTAACATGATAGGATAGCTTTCCCATTTGTAAGTTATGTGACTTCACACTGTCCTTTTCCCCTCCCCTTTTTCTTTGATCCTGATAAAATGTAAGCTATATCCCTGGGGCTCAATCTGCTATATCTAACTGTGCCCACATTGGAAAGTCCCCAGAGACCACCAGGGAGACAGACCCACTAAACTGCAAAGCAAGGTTTAATGATTGTTCATCCAACCATGTCAGGGACCCCGTCTGGCTAGCTGTCAAAGCAGCCTCCAGAGGGAGCAAAGTTCCCTGTCTACTGCTAGGTTTTATAGACAAAGTTACAGGATTACATCAGTAGGTACCAGTTGGTTTCTGATTGGTTAACATTCAATTAGGAGAATTTCTCAAAGTCATATTTTGGCATGAAATACCCGTGTACCAATTATTTTCATTGGTACTGGAAGGGAACATTCTGTGGTTTCTATGGCTTTGTCTTGTTACTTGCAGGTGGCCTGTTGTACATAGATACCTGTAGTTCTCAGAACTATATCCTGGAGACTACAGGGGAGGTTTGGTTCCCCCCACCCAGAGTTTCCTTTGTGGCCAAACAGTTCCCAGGAACCAAGTATCTAGGAGGCTGGCGAGTGAGGGAGGGATCTGGAGTTTCTTTGTGTTCAGTTTTGGCCCTAGGCTCCCGGAGGCTGGGCCAGAGGATCTGGAGTTTCCTTGTGTCAGTGACCTACGTGTCTTTTCTGTAGCCTGTCAGGGCTGCTAAAGCAGGGGCTGAGTGAGGGTCTGGTCCCTTTATTTAGTTTACCCCTTTCACTATTTCTCGTAGCAAAATGTTGGCATTTCATTCCATGCAGTGTGTATCTTATAAGTTTCTTTCTATGACTTAATCATTTTCTATTGCGCTAAGACTTGTTGAGCCATTCATCTGGCAATAAGCTTCTGAGTTGTTTGCAGTTTTTCATAATTTTTTTTGTTTGTTTTTTCGAGATAGGGTTTCTCTGTAGCTTTGGAGGCTGTCCTGGAACTCACTTTGTAGACCAGGCTGGCCTGCCTCTGCCTCCCAAGTGCTGGGATTAAAGGCATGCACCACCAACGCCCGGCTCAGTTTTTCATAATTATTGGTACATGCACATGAGTCTGGGTGCCCTTGTAGGCAGAGGCATCAGATCCCCTGAATCTGGTGTTACAGGTAGCTGTAAGACACCCATTGTGGATGCTGGGAACCAAACTCAGGTCCTCTGCAAGACCAGTACATACTCTTAACCTCCCTGCCAGGAGATAAACATTTTTAGGACAGGGATGTAGTTCACTTGACCTATTGTTTGCCTAGCACGCACAAATCTCCAGTTTTGACCCTTGCATTGCATAAAGCCAGGTATAGAGACACCAACCTATAATCACAGGAGCAGTTATTTGAAAAATCAGGAGTTTAGTAGTATTCTTCACTGTGTAACGACTTTGAGCCCCCCCCCCCAGCTATATGCAACTCTGTCTTTAAATAAATAAGTCTTGAAGGGACTGGAGAAATTGCTTAGTAGTTAAGAACACTTGTTCTTGCAGAATACCCGGGATTGAATCCCAGCACCTACATGCACCCCACAATTGTCTGTAACTCCAATTCTAGGGGATCTAGCACCCTCTTTTATTCTCGCTGGGCACCAGGCATACGTGTAGTGCAAATACAGATATGCAGTAAAAGCAATCATGCACATAAAATAAATCTTTAAAAACATACAAAGGTATGCCAGGCAGTGATGGCACATACCTTTAATCCCAGCAGTTGGGAGGCAGAGGCAGGTGGATCTCTGTGAGTTCAAGGCCAGTCTGATCTACAGAGCTAGTTCCAGGACACAGTGAAACCCTGTCTTTGGAAGAAAAAAAAAACAGTGCCGAGAAGTAAGAGATGAAATTTTAGGAATGAAATGATAAGCCGAACATCCTTTCATGGTCAGTCACTAAAATGTATCTAGCAACACGTGTCTATTTTTAACAAGCCTGGAATAGTATATTAAAATACTAGAGACTGACTTCCTGGCCTATTGGCTATTTGTGAAAATAGTGGAAACTCTGAGTGAATTTTGTTCTAACAGTACTTTATTTCCCATACAAAGCTACGAAAGAAGTGACCACACTGCTAGTTGGATATGGTATTTTCAACACATGTCCACCAAAGAAAGCCATTGTGTTCTCTCCTGGGTGGGTAGGAGGGAACAAATGGGAGTGGCTTGCCAAAGATGTGACACAACCCAACTGGAAACAACACAGATGTCAGCACCCTGGGAAGTAGATGTGCTATGGCCATATAGTAGAATTCTCATAGCAATAACAATAAAATGACTCGGTGACATAATGTTGAACACAGACACAAAAATTCAAATTGTGTGCTAGTGAGGAGTATGCGTTGTACTTACTGTTTGTAATTTATACCTAGGAAAAAGAAATAAAAGTCAAGGACTGGAACGAAAATGGTGGGGTGGAGGAAAATATAGTCTACTTACTTCTAGCAGTCACTGGTCAGAAGTGATTGGATGTAGTAGCATGGGTCTGTAATCTCAGCATTCAGGGAGGTAGAGTCAAGAGCATCTTGAATTTGAAGCCATTCTGAGTCACATTGTGAGATTCTTGCCCCAACCCCACAGAAAGCATAGCATGGGAAAGACCCTAGGTTTGGTTAGCAATATCACGAAAAAAAGACATAGAATCAAAATAGGGATTGAGTTGAAACCCTGGGAACTGTAGATTTCCTCTCTTCACACCTCCACACCAACAATGGTTTTGATCTCCTGACCTGCCACTATGTCCTGGAGCGCAGAAGGACTCCTTCAGGTTGTAATACCTAGCCCATTATGCACCACAAGGAAGAAGAAGGCAACACAAGTTACAAAGATTTTACTAAATCACCACATAAGCAGGTCATTGATAGATCAGGGCTGCAAGACAAGGAGCCTTGTTTCTCCTGACAGCCCCGAGCAGGGACAGAAACGGGGTTTATAAGCACAAAAATCACAAACATGTGTTGCCAAGTTACAGTTACAGTTTTCATCAATCCAAAATACAATGCAAGCCTTTCAGTCCAACCAATCAGATTCACTTGTTCCTTCTGTGGCTAGGAACAGCCATGTTTCTAAAGAACTAAAGATTCATAACCACTATTTCTGTGGTTTAGGGAGAAGGTTGGTCAGCCATTGGAAAGTTCTCACCTCCTCTAGGACTTGGCAACCTGAACTTTATTTCACCCTACAGGTAAAATGGAGTCTGAAGTCAAAATGGCAGTGCTCAGGCCAAGGTGCCTTTGCCGTCTCCCTTCACTGTAACCCTTCAAATGGAAAATACCCTGGGGCCACCTACTATTTTTTTTTAAGAATTTGAGCTAAGCTCTTAAAGAGAAGTTATCAAATCCAGAAGGAACTTAAGATCCTTTGGGGAAAAAGAACTTAACTCCAACATTTTAGTTTCAGAAACAGGAATGTTAGAATGCAAAATCTGCATTCAGGACTGAAGATTCCATTTGGTTTGGTTTGGTTTTTTTTTTTTTCAAGACAGAGTTTCTCTGTGTAGGCTGGCCTACAACTCGCTCTGTAGACCAGGCTGGCATAGAACTCACAGAGATCCGCCTGCCTCTGTCTCCCAAATGCTGGGATTAAAGGTGTGCACCACCACTGTGGCCTCCATCTTGTTGTGTTCTGAAATTCTCATATTACACTAATTTATTGACTAATGGGGAAGTGGCAAGACCATGGAGTGTGTGGTGATGACAGCACAACCTTCAGGACTCAGCTCTCTCCTTCCACCATGTGGCTTCTGGAGAGAGAACACAGGCTGGGTAGCAAGCACTTTCACCAAGTGATCTCACTTGCCCCAGTTTTTTGTTTGGGGGTTTTGTTTAGATTTTTATTCTGAGACAAGGTCTCTCATGGCCCAGGCTGTCCTGGGACTTGTTATGTACCTGAAACTATCCTTGACCTACTGATCTTCCTGCCTCTATCTCCCACGGGCTAGGATTACAGGCATGTGCCGCTATGCCTGGCTGAGATTTCTCTGATTTGGATGGT